ACATATATATATAAATAATTTTTAAGTAACACACATACTGCTAAAGCAAATGAAAGCCAAATAGAAAGTCTAAGCTGACTAAACTAAAGAGAGACAGACAGAGAGATGGGTGGAGAGAGCGCTAATGGGAGAGAAACAAAGAAACATGGGGCGTTAATTGTCAAAATGTATAGGCATTTGTATGTGTATGTACAAATACATACATATGTGCATGTGTTTGTACACGTCAATGCACGCGTATCGATTTGTTTGTCTAATTTTTTGGCATTGAAATAGTACATTTTTTGTGTTAATCAATTTGCAATGTGACCAAATGCACTCACAAATAACTACAAAATACTAAAAAACAATGGGTCACAATGTAAAACCAAAATATAATAAAATAATAAAGATTGAATGTCTGCTGAATAAAATATAAATGTATATTTAATATTCTAATGCCTGCATATGCTGCCGGTTATTTTATTTAACTTTTTTTTCACAAAGCTTTTTCACCTTATTTGTGTCAATTACAAATTAACATATGGACGTTTCACACTTAATGCTAGATATGACACGCACACACACATGCATATACACATACATATGTGCACACACACGTATAGAAGAAGATCTGATGCGTGCTCTATAATCAAATTTAGTTTATACGCCCCGCTTAGAGCTTGGACAGCCAATGAAACGGAACACGATTTTGGAGTAGGCTACCCCATACATATATATAAGTGCTTTAATGGGTGATAGGCAGAGATTAAAAATATACTTAATTCAACTACAATGATTAACGCAATTTATCAGATTTAATTTAAGCTCACAATGTTCAGCAATAATATATAAACATGCATAAAATCAACAGCCCGTTAAATAGAATATTATACTTTATGTGAGCGCTTTACGCCGAGGCCAAATCAGGCCAAAGATTAGATAAACAACATCACGCAGAATGAGCCGCCCTTAGGCGTCTGATATGTAAGTATGTACGTATTTTGACATGGATACAAGTGAAATTAACAATGACGCTTCGCTGACGACAATACATACATATGTATATATGTATGCACATATGTCTGTATGATCAGAAGCATACATGCACGAACGCTCATAGTAACTGTAAATATCAGTGCCTACTCTGATTACTTGTGCATCTCACTTGTGCCCACTGTTGCTCTCCTTCTCTTTCGCATAGAGACATGGCAACGAGAAGAAACGGTTTAAAAAAGATCTTTGATTTATTCAATCAAAGCGACAACACCGAGCAACTAAGCCTAAGTTACAACATGCTTTGCTGTGGTGAATCTGGCTTATGTGTGCACATCTGTGCGTGTGTGTGTGTGTGTTTATATGTGCACAGTGTTGCCGAATCAGCTATTTTGTAGCTAGATCTGGCTACTTCTTGAGTCCGATTGCTACACAAATTTTCAARCAGCTATTAGCTACAAATCTGGCTATTTTCAAATATATATATATAATAGGTAAGCTTTCTAAAATGTTATGCAAAATTCATTTCTTATCAGTTTTTATACCCTGAACCCATTGAAAATGGGAAATCAGGGTATAATGGTTTTGTGAAAAAGTATGTAACGGGCAGAAGGAATCATCGNAGCTGAAATTTGGCATGCATCATATTTTTTCGATAACTCATCCGATAACTTTTTTATCTAGAATTATCGAAAATTTGATTTTATTATTTATGCTATGAGTATAGCGTTCCACCCAACTACCTTAAAAAGGCAAATTATAAAAGCGACAATGGTGAAAATGACGAGTTGGTGGTCATAGATGAGATATTATAATAATTAAATTAATAAAGTTGACTTTTTATGAAAAAAAACGGCACTGTTTTCTTTTTTGCTACTTTTTCAGCTATTTTAGAAGAAAGTTGGCTACTTTTAGCTACTTTCAGCCTTCGGTTTTGCTACTTTTGCTGAAAAAGTTTCGGCAACACTGTATGTGCATGGTGTTTATTTCACCACAGCAGAAAAACACATTGGATTAGTGGGAGTAATATATGTACATAGGTATGTATGTAGATATATATGCATATGAATAGCGTAACATACTGTTCTTGTTTGAACTCCTCCAACCACCTGCCTTTGCTTAACATAGTGTGGCCAAATCAGATAATATTAGCAGTGGTCCACAAATTCCACTTTAAACGATGCAACCGTTGCCTCTGCACCGAAACGAAAAACAGAGAGCCAGAAGTTCGTTGTTACAGAGAAACCGGTTTAGCAATATACCAATACCAATACAAATGCATTGAAACTTCATACATATACATATGCGAGCATGTGTGCGTAGATGAGCCGGCATTTGTCACCGGCAGCAAATGCTATCTCTACCTCTGCCTCTGCTTCGCATGCTCTTTCATTTGAAACCTACACACGCACACACACACACATACATATACTTTTTATAACACCATGCATATGTTATGTGTTTGCATTTTGCATGCATTTATAACAGTAAAACAACAGCAATCACGCCATAGATAAAAACTGAGCGAAACGGAAAGACAGAGAGAGCAGAAAAAGAGAGAGAGAGAGCGCAAAATCTTCCAACTGGAGTAAGTGCCGCCTTTTCTGAACGAGTTTATCGACAACACATTCACCCAAGTCAGTGGACAAGAAACAGCAATTGAGAGCGTGAGAGTGAAAAATACTGATGGCTGTCAAGCGGAGGGCAGTCAACAATCGGAACGCGGCTGGCTGGCAGAGGCGTTTACCGGCTTGCATGAGTGACTCATTCGACCATTTCGTAAGCCAGAAAAGTCAGTGAGCGAACTATAGCGCAACGTTTTCGACTAGTTTTTTTTGTTACCAACAAATTTCATTTAGATATTGGACAGTGATTCACAGCTAGATAATTATTCCCTAATAAAATTTAAATGCAGTCGAATTTAATGCTCTCATAATACAAATTGATTAATTTGTATTAATAAAAATATATCGAGATCGAGTGCTTCAGTAAATACATATACATATATATAATTAGTATATTTATTTTGATATGTGTTTAGTTCAGGCACACATGAACTGCAACCACGGTGCAATGTATTCTTATAAGAATATGCTAAGCGGCGCTTGGGCGTCTCAACAAGTGGTTTTTCCATGCACACTGAAGACTAGAGAATCTGACTATATGCCTCATTCAATGGAATTTGGGGAATATGAATACTCTTACCATAAACAAGTATAAAGCAAACACTCACCTGTAAATGCTCTTGAAAGCGTATGGGTAACGGTTGCGTCATCTTGACGGCCTGTTATTTTGGCTCTCTGGTTGGGAGTTACGACTTGTTGTTGTTGTATGCTGTTCTTTGGGTCTCGTTTAATAGTTGTTCTTATTTTATTTTCTTTCGAGAGAGATAGCACACGCACTTTTTTTTGTTGTTTGATGAGTGTTAGTAAAAAAAATCGGGAGAGAATGCGAATACTGTTGTCTGCGTCAACGTTAACGTTGACTTTTGTTTAAGTTTTTATTTTAATTTATTTAATTTTTTATTTTGCTGTTTGATCTTGTTTTCTTTTCGGTCGTTCGTTGTTATGGTTGCTGATGTTGTTGTTGGTTTCTTTATTTTGTTTCGTCTCGGTTTAGATTTTTAGCAATTTCGTTTCGCGTTGCTTGTGAAGACACACCAAAAACTGCGCAAAGAAAGAACGAAAAAAAATTGTATATTAATTAATTGTGCTACAAGATATTTGTTGCTTTTGTTATCACTAGAAAGTGAGGCTGCAGCGGGCTCCTCTAAAGCACTTTTAAAAAAAAAACTCGTAACGTAACGTTCATCCCCCCACACAAACACAAGCACATACACATATATATGTACAGAGAGATACTCGAAAGCACTACCGAATTTAAGCGAAAAAATGCCTTGTTATATACTAATTTTTATTAGGAATCAATCAAGAAATTTATTTACTATTTGTAGTATTATTCACTTGAATTTCCACATATTACTTGCGCACGACCGTTTGTCGGCAAATACAACAAAATATTAATGAATCGACACCGCCGACAACACTGACAGACGACAGACATAATAACACAAGTACGAGTCAGTGACAGAACGGCCCCTGTGGTGTGTTACAACGAAATACACCACAGCTGCGAGTTGTCGTTTCGTGCGCTAGTATTGGTGCATGACAAAGTCAAATAATGAAATGTCAAAATGCGCGCCGTATGAGTGTGACCACATATACACTTATACAGCAAACTTGTATATTAAATACGCCGTTCTAATAAATTTTGATTGTGCCTAAAAAGAAAATAAAAGGCAATTACAATATCCCAGTAAGTCCCTCATCTGTCTTAATGTGAGGCAGCACCACTGCTTCTTTTATAGCTCACCACACTGTCAGCCATGTTGAGTTGCGCTCCGACACACTTACTCATACACACGACACACTTGCATGTTTGCCCATACACACGCACACACACACACACACATATATATATACTCACGCACACGCATTTGTGTAAGTACGTGTGAAGTAGTGGAAAAAAAATTTGCTCTATGTACATACATATGTATAAAACACACTTTTTGCATTGATTTTTGCCACGCAGCAATATTAAGAACTTTGATGATGCAGTTTGGCAAACTAAATAGTTAAAGCCCAAAAGTTACGCGCATATAACAAGGCAAAGCATCGCAATTGCTTTGAACACGCATGCCACATAAACAAAAAAAAAATCGTTTTGTTAGCATGAAAAACACCGCCCACTAACATTTGGGTTCAGAAATACAGTTTTCTCTTTGCAAGTGTTGTGCCGCCTGTTCGCCCAATATTTCTTGCAAGTGCATTATCGTATAATATAATATTTAATATAATTTCTTGTTTAGTGGCAAACTAGTCAAAAAGTTGTTATTTCCCCTATATTTTTTTGCTGCTTTTTCGAAGGAGGCGGAAGCGTACCAGTTTATTGTTGTAGGTTAACAATTGCACGTCTGCACGAACACACGACGATACGATTCACATTTAACATTTAACACATTATTCTTATTCGTTAGAAAATACACGAAAGAGCAAAAATTACATTGAAAAAGAAGTATGAATGAGACGACGTTGGTCACTGCAAGCTAGGGATGTACGACAAATATATATCGATATAAATAAATTGTAGCGATAACCGATTGCCTTCAAAGCCACATGCGATAGACATCGAATAAATAAATATAAGAATATATAACCATTTTATACCTGCAATTGCCAAATTTTATATAGTTTCTTATGTGATACCACAACGATGTGACGTTTATTTAGGCGCATAATTTAATAAATCCACTGTTAATTTATTTATCGTGACTAACGTTATTAACAGTATCGCTCCACAAATTAACAGAACAGACTCCACAATAATCTGCAAAACTCGGTCTTTAAAAATAACACGAAATATCGGCCATCTCTAAACTCTCCAAGCCGAACAGTGAATGAAGTTGGCGGTGCGCAAAAGTAAATTTTACTCAAACTTTCAATTTATAAACGCATTTTAAGGAAGAACTCCGCATGAAGGCTGTGCACGCGATGTGCATTTGAACAGTTTATAGTTATTGTTATATCCACGTTATTGTTAAAGCAAGCACTGATAGCAATTTTCCACAGCATTCGTTGGATGTTTAAAAAAAAAAAACACGCGCGTTGCGCGTCGTATGAAACATATTCAAAAGTTGTTTGCTGTCTATGTGCATGTGTGCGTGTGTGTGAGCTTGTATGTATATTTGTATGTATGTGCGCTGGCTTTATTAAACATTAACATTGCGAAAAATCAATACATAAGTCCCTCAGTGCTTGTGTGCTGTGCACCGTGTGTGGCATTTGTGCAAAAAATTGTGTTAAACAAAAAGGATAATCCAAGGATAACGCCAGCAAGCGGTGCTTGGCGGTAGGGGCCAAGCAACACGCGCCCAACGCATCCAGAACGAGGTAAAAACATTGTCAATACATACATATGCAAGCATGCATGCTGCGTGTCGGTGTTTATGTGTGTGTGCGGATATGTTGATGTAAATATGTGTGTATATATGTACATCCTTGCAACTAAATATAAACAGTCTGCGATGTCGGTGCCATAAATAAATAAATCGCATCAAATAGAAACAAACATTCTTTGAATATAAATATATAATAGAAATATGTATATGTATGCAATATGCATATAGACAGATATGATCGTGTTGAATTTTTGTTTATGTTGTTATTTAATTGATGATGCCTTTGTCTCCACATGAATCGCCAACTTCATTTCAAGCAGCTAAATATGCATAATTTGCGCCTGACGCGACGCTCGGCCCGGCTTTTTATTTATTTAATTTTTTCCTTTTATTTTTTGTGCTGCAGCAGCAACTCTTGTGATTTATTTTGCACACACACACACACACACACATACACATACACGGATATGCATAGCCTCAGAGAGAGGGAGAGAGCAAGAGAGGCATTTTACATGTGTTTGTACTTCCTTTAGCTGCTGTGTCTTTGTTGTTGGCGCTTTTGTTTGTTATTTCGGCATGTTCGCACTCCTGTGTGCAAAAGAGACAGCGAACACACGCTGACTCTCATTTTTGTATTTGCCTGCATTTTGCTCTCCTGCTGAGTTTTTGCATTCACGCTTCTGATTGGACTGTATATGTGTGTGTGCTGTCTTTCGAGCGGCAAAACAGCAAAACGAAGCAACTATTAGTGATATTCCTGCAAGTGCATGAAGCATGTGTCTGTATATACATGTGCATACATAGAATGGATTTTTGTGGTTTTACTAGAATTTACTTAATAAATTTCTTAGCCAAACAATAGTATTATGTTACGAAACCTAACACTAAACATAAATATTTATACAATATATACACATAGCGCTCAAATGGTACGACCCAAACTTGTTAAAAGACCTTCAAATTTTGTATTTCTATTTGATTTCGTTCATTTTAAAATTAACGTCTGATAACAACAGTTATAAGCTGACTGCTATGGCTGCGATCCAGTGTTAATATATCGATAACATGCAGCAACTTCAGGTGTCAGCAAATTTTTTTTTTGCATTTTCGTCTCTTACTGTGACAGTTTAGTTATTTATTTATTCTTTTCTACTGCTACACACGCCGTCTTAGTGAATGTACTTGTTTCATAAGAACTAGACTAGATTTTATATTAATCGAGTTTGGATTGTTATCGCCGTTAAAATGCTGTAAAAGCAAATATAAAGAAACATGTAAACGCTAGCAGGCGCGCAAATTGAATTATTTAAATATGGATGTATGTACATATGTATGTGATAAATTTGTAGGAAGTTTTCCACCCCTAATTACTAGAATGTGCTACAACAATTACAAATTCGTTCTCGGTTGTGCTGCTCTTATTTTTTCTGTCAACTTTAGCGCTTTGTTGTTGCTGTTGCGCCTTAAATGCTATTTTTGTGTTACAGTCTCCCTCTGTTGTCTTCTCTGGAGTAGCTTACATACATACAGCACACTCATAGATGTGCATGTAAATATATGAATGTGTGTATTTAAGTTTTTTACTGTTTCCTTTTTCTCAAAAATATGCTGATTGTTTTTGTTGTAGTTGCTCTTGCCAATTTTGCTTTGGTCTTCCAGAACCAGAGAGCCAGCATGCAGGCACTAAGGGTTTATGTTCGTGCTCTCTGACATCTCGCTCTCTCAAAGAAAAAGGAGTTTGTTTTTGGTCTTTGTTTTTTTTTTCTTGTCTGAGCACAATTTTTGCACTTGGCCAATTTACAGTTTGCATTGTCAAATTAAACAACAGTCGCAGATGTTATAAAAAAAAAAAAAACAATTTTCTATTAAATTGATATATACTATAATAGATTAACTACTTAACATGACTATTCGTCCAATTTCAATTGTTTTTAATAGTTCTCTCATCTAAATACTCATTCAATAACAAAGCGCTTGGTCAGACGATTGGTGTTTTTGCTACTTTTTATTTAACATACATACATATACATATGTATATATATAAATATATATACTTACATCAATAGATATATATGTGTATATATGCATCCCTTTTTATAGTCTTTTTTTTTTTTAATAACACTATCCGGCAAATATACATCTGTGTATGGGTAGGATGAGAACCAAACAGGTACAATAACATTGGCACACATATTCTGAAATCAATTTTAAGGAAGTAACGAACTATAACTTCTCTTAGAATTTAAATCTACATTTGTAATTATAAGCACTTTTAACATTATTACAATTTATGTATCTAAAAGGATAAATGTCATAAGTATTAATTTTTAGTGACATTAGATTATGTAATTTGAAACAATTACAAATACAATACCTTGTATACATGCATTTAGCATAACTCACATACGATAGCTGTCAACATTTTGAAATTGTTTACATTTTAATGCTAGCTCATACCACTGTGCTGGCTGCCTTAGTCAACTTCCTTCGCTCAATTTCATGCTCACTGCGCCGACTCGCTCTTTCAATTTCTCTCATTCTGTGACTGCGTTTGTGTTTTTTGCATTTGTGTGCGTGTTCCATGCTCCCTTGTTTTTTGTTGTTCCTGCTTTGCTCGCTGCTTCCTTTCTGCCTTTGTATAATTCGAAAATGCTAAAGTAAAGTGCTCAAAATTGCTCTGCTCTGCAGCAGTAGCGGCAGCAGCAGCAGTAGCCGAAGCAGCATATTTTTGCGACTCTCCCTCTTCTTTAACCGCAAAGGCAACGGCAGCAAGCAGCTGCCTGTGTGCTTTCCTGGCTCGCTCCATCGTCTCCATCGTTGTCGTTGCCTTCATCGTCGTCGTCGTCGCGTCGTCGGTTGTTGTTATGCTTGATTTTTATTACTTTACTTTTTCAGTATAATTCTTTGTCTTTTGGCGTTTGTTTAATGCAAAAAAAAAAAAAAAAAAAAACTAAATAAATTCAACACTTGGCTGTATAAGGTCTCAGCAATTGACGGGCGCCCGATCGGAGCCATTGCAACTGAAAAAAATAAAAAAAAAAAAAAAAAAAAAAAAAAAAAAGACCAAGACAAGAACCAGCAGACACGCACACACACAGACATACATACTTATGGACGCGGACACACACACTAGCGCAAAAACTGAAGATACCAAAAAGGAAGAAGCACAAACTACATTAAGCACAGACACAGGAGTCTGTACAAAATAAAATTTTTGCGCAACGCGCTGTGTCACATTGCAAAAAGGGCGAGAAATTCACATTTAACAACCAAAACTAGCGAAATTCCAACTTAACGTCAATATTAATTATTAATTATTCAACTGTGTGCTGGCAGTGCTAAAGACAATATAAAATACCAAAAACAAAACAAAGAACTAAAAATCAATTTCAAATTAACTTCTTTGATTGTAAAATTTTTTTTTTTTACAATTTTTCTTTAGTTGCTTTGCTTTGCGGAGCTAAACGCTCTTTGTTTTTTTTTTTTTTTTATTATTTTTTGTTTTTGTTGAATTTAGTTTTATTTTCATTTGGCGCTCGCATGTGGAGGCCAAGCGAGAGGACATATAACAAAAACAACAAAAGAATTTTGGGTAATATTACAAACCTAAAGAAAGTTTTTAAATTGAATCTAATCGTCCTTGCTTAGCTCTGGCTACACAGTGTGAATCAAGTGAATGCATTTGAAGTTCATATAGAACAATTAAATGAATATAAAACAATATTATAAATGTACACATTATGAATTATTCATATTTAAATATTAAATGAACAACATTCGACTGTTTCTCATTAAATTATTTCAGTTCAGTGAGTGTATGAATTGCATGTAATTGTTATCGAATAGGCAAATGAATGTTTGGAATATAACGAATGCAGGGTTTTAAAAACCAAACCAAGTTTGCATTGAATAGCTTTAAAATAGCTAAATTAATATTTTATA